TTTGTAAACCATAAAACTTTCATCTCTACCAGGCTCAGAATCCCACAGTAGCTCCCTAATTTCTTTAAGCCATTTTCTGTCTGGTTTTTAGGAGTCTTCATAACCGGTCTGCACCTTACCCGGCCACCTCATTTCTCACCATTTTCCACTACAGACTCATAACAATGAGGCCAGCCTTCTTCATTCAGCATTCTCTCCACTGGTTTTTCCCTGGAACACCAACAATGACCACCACGCCCCTCTGCTCATCTTCAGCATCTTCATTCTCCCGCATTTGTTCAGCCGTTGAACACTGAACACTCTGACAAATACTGTCCTGTGTACTGGGGATGCTTCTGGGAGCAAGAAAGAGAAGTTCACTGCCATCAAGGGCCCTCCGAGAGAGCTCTTGACAGTAAACAGGGTGTTCCCTGCCAGCATCCTCTTCCCTATGTGAATCCTCCAGCTCTGATGCTCTCTCCTCTGTGAGGTCTCTTTTAATTACCATTAACTCATTATCTTCTCTCTCTTTTTTCCTACAGCTCTTGTGGGCTGTTTCATATAATTTAGGGTATGATTTTATTTTTTAAAATTCTCACCTAAAAAGCACCACCCAGGAAGCTGGTTTTTTTCCATACTCTTATAACCCAGAGTAGACATCAAATGCTTGTTGATTTCAGAAGAGCACATCAGAAAAGCTGGGCATGTGTGAGAAACTCTCCCAGGAAACAGAACCCACCATTGCCCCTCAGTGGCACCTGTATGGTGGGCTGGTCGGCCCTGCTGGGAGGGCAGCACTAGCAAGGACAATCTGATTCACGGCTTGTCCAAAGCCAACCACAGGGGAAGCCATGCTCAAGGACATCTTCCTGCTGCCGGCAAAAGACGAGTGTCTCCTAGCAACCGGCTTCCAGTGGCTTCCTGTCCTGGGAGCCTCCCTGCGCTCACAGCTTTACATCCTGGGGTTTTGTATTTTGGCCTTGCTAATCACTGTGTTTATTCTAGGTTTTGAAAATTGAGGAATAAATACAGGTTAGCTGCTGACGTTCAAGCGGAGACACCATTTTATTCATAACCTCCTTTCAGCAACCACTCATGACTTTCATGGAACAGAATGTTTGATCTTAGTCTAAAAAGGGTAAATATATTTTTTAAAGATTTCATTTATATCAAGGCAGTTGGTTTGAAAGATACATAAAAAAGGAAAAGCACACATTCTTTCCATCGAATAATCAAAAAGTACTCAGACCTTTTCAAAACAGATACACTATCATTCAAAACCTGTTACAGCAATAAACTCTAACTTGGCAAGTTCACAGATGCAGAAGGAAAGGCAAGGCAAATTGGAAGAAAATGGTTCAAAGGTCCTTAAAAGTTTTGGTGGCTTAGAATTATGTCTGCTGCAATATGGATTGAGCATTTATTTCCTCCATGTTCTTCCTAGAAAGTCTAACCTTAGTTTCAAGGTATATAGTGCTACATTTTTATTTTTGTGGGATTGAACTCCGCAGTTGATGTTGCTTTGTAACATTTTCTCTTGTTTTTGTCAAATATTCATCAAGACACAAATTCCTCATCTGTTAAAAAAATCAATCAGACTTCCCACAGTGAAGAGCTCAAAACTGTAAGTATATCCTTTATTCAAAAAACCCATAAATGTAAGTTAAAGGTATGATTACTTGTCTCTTTCAATAAGAAAACTCAAAGACTTAAGGTGAGTTGAGTGCCCAGAGTTAAATATATGAGAGGGCTGGTAAACCCCAGAACTCTTTTCCAGCAAAGCCACCAAAGCCTGGTACTGCCCGGGGTTCCCTGAGCAGCAAGTTGAGGTTTGGAGTCTGCTACTGCTGTATTTAGGCAGTGATCTTGGTCTCTGCAGACTTGTGAGTTCTTTGGAGGTATCCCTCAGTTCCTCCCCCCATTTCCCTCCCCCTGTCCCAGCAATACAGCCACAAAGTCATGAGTCCAAGATTAATTCTAACTGTTTTGGCCGTAGTAGACCCTCTATAAACCTAAGAATGACTTCTGCCTTCTCAGGGATAGTATAGGATTTACCAGGTAGCACCAGTGACTTCTAACTTTTCAGCATCTACTTTTGAAATTTATCCATGGATGGAGTTTTTAATAGGGGGTGTTGCACATTCCTTAGAATAACTCACAGGCTCCTTAGCTTCCTATTTTGGGGTTCTGTACATATTTGTTTTCAGGGGTACAAAATGAATCACATGGCTACAGCAGGGCACTCCTGAATGACTCTTGTTTATTCATTAAAGAAACTTGTACATGAATCAAGGCTTTCCTTATGGTCTCAGGCTGTTCTTCATTCCCTGAAATGGTCAGAACACCCATCAAGCATCTTGGAAGAATGCATATCTTTAAAGGCCATAAAGAAAGAACGTTTGGTTAAAATGAAAAACTGCTCTGCCACCCACTCGTCTGAGTTCTCCTTTCTTTATCTTTAATCAATATGTAAATCTGTTCACTTGATGTTTTAATACAAGTTGAGGTAAATTCAGCTTCATCATGTTTTTCCACAGAGGGGAAAAACTAACCCTGACTCTTCCTCTGGCCCTTTTCAAATATCTACATGCAGTGGTGGAATGAGCTGAGGACATGAAAGGCCCTGGGAGGCAGGCCTGTGTCTTACCCTGCTGGGCCTAGTATTCCAACCACCACACAAGACTAATTCAAGAATAACAGGCCTGGGTCCCAACCTTAATCATTTCCATTTTCATTATGGTTTACACATTAATTGTAAATGACCAGATTGATTAGGGACTCTTTAAAAAAGCCAAACAGATTGGGAGGCAGTGCAGGATAGCATTAACTGTATAGGTTTGATATTTCCATAGACCTGGACTAAAAATCCAGACCTGTCATTTACTAGCTGTGTGACCTTGGGAAAGTCACTAGGCTTCTCTGGGCTTCAAATTTTCCTTAACTATAAAATAGGGATTGTAACTACCTGTATGAAAATCAGTGTGAGAATAAAATGAAACAATGTATGCAAAAGATTTTGCATAGTGCCTGTAACTACCGTTTATTGAATAAAAGACTGTAATACAAACTGCTTTGATATGTGTGGCATACTAACTGTCTTACCAATTGTCTATTACTTATGTACAAAGCACTGCGGTGAGTGCTATAGAGACCCCTCAAAATTTTGGATGCTCTCTTTTCTTAAAAGCTTTATAACCTGATTACTAATCAAGGAGACAACACAGAAATCCATAGAAAAAGTAAAATTGCAGTTGGATAAAACTTCTCTTGGAGTGCTGCCCACTCTCAGTAGTCAAGTTCACACTTGAGGCTGACAGTGCTTCAGTTATTGTTTCATGGGTCACACCTGAACCAACTAGGGCAGTCAGTGAAATAACATTCCACATTCATCCAACAAATATTGATTGACCTACTGTGTGCCAGGCACTGTGCCAGGTGATGGAGATGTCAGTCTTCCTGGAGTTTAAGAAGCACTTAGGGTCTGTTTTAAGCATTTCATATGAATTAACTCTTTTAACTTTTCAACAAAACTAAGAGGGGGCTACTAGCATCAGTCTCATTCCACAGATGAAAAAACTAATCACAGAGAGGTTACATAACTTGTCCAGGGCCACACAGTAATAGACAGCAGAATTGGATTGGAAACAAGCAAAGTGGTTCTAGGGTCTGCCCTGGTATCACCAATACCTTACTGCTTTGTAACAGCACCTTTTCTTATGAGGAGACCATTGCATGCCTCTGGGGTGGTTCCTTTACTCCTGCTTTTGAAGATGGATTCTCTAGATGAAAAGACTGAGGGTTCACTCTTTTCTTTCCTTCCGTCACTGAAGACCTGAGAAGGGACTGTAAAGTCCCTGTGGACACTAGTTAGCCCTCCATTAAGCAAGCTGTGCGTCATCAGTTATCATATTTAAACCAATCTCTTGCTGTTTTGAATAAGAGTTAAAAACATACTTTGATGCATTAAATAGACCTACCTTAGGGGAGGTTTACTTCATAATTGAACACAATAGATTTCTAACTTGAAAGCTACTGCAGGCTTTCAAGTATTATTTAAATTGTCCTAGACACAAATTACTCATAAAATTGAACTGTCACTTCATAGCAGAATGAAAATTAATATGCTCCTCTTGATTCCTGAACTTGAGCATAAATTCCCTTATGCAAAACACTCTGGAATTTGGAGAGCTAAGATCAGAACCTTTTTCTCTGCTCCATGTCATGTCTTGTGTCTCGTGTGGTAAAAGGCAAAGAAAACAAGCTATCAGTAGTAAGCAGAACGAAGAAACAATGTTTAGTCAGGCCGTAACATCTTTCTTCTATAGAAATGGAGAACTTTCTTTCTCTAGTTCTTTAACTGTTAGAGAAATAATTTGAAAAAGACAAAAAAAGAAAAAACTGACTCATATTTGCAAACAGAAAATACCAGAAAAGGAGATAAATGGCTGCCCAAACGGCCTCAGGACATAATTGTTTTTAAGGGAGGGCTGCAGTCCTCCATAAGCTCTTTTCAGAATCTAGACCATCACAGACACATAGGAGACTATTAGACTAGGCGCTAAATTTTGTCCATGGTTAGCAAACGACATACAAAAAACTAAACTGCTCCCTTGAAGTTGAAATCAAAGAGTGTCATGAGCAGCCTTATGTATTTCTGAATGGGAGAGAACACACATATGTGATGGAGGCAATCCAGAGAGAGGCGCACTTCCCAGAGGCTGTTTTAAACAGTGACAGATTACAAAATCCTAATGTGATATGTTGGAGCATGAAATACACACACACACACACACACACACACGCACGCACACTTGCTTGTGAAAAATCCTGCTGAAATCTTTAAAAAGCCGAAGTTTAGAAGAACACGTGCTATGGATGCACCAACAGTAATTTCAAAATCACTCTGCTTGAGTCCACTCCTCACCTCTTTTATCACTTTGACACACTCTTTAGGAAATAACAGAGAAAGAGAAATATGAAACTGAAGACAGAAAATTTAATTATAAAACAAAGCCACCCACCTTGCTTTCAGGGTCAGGAGATACAATAGCCTTCTTTTGCAGCAAGAATGAACTTAACACCCGTGTGTTAAATGATCACTTATCTATTTAAAAGAAAAGGAAATGTTTTTTTTTTAAAGAAAGCTATCTCTCAGTCCTTCTCACTGCAAGTCTTACCAAAAAATAAAATAAAAGCAGTGTACTGTGGCTCTCTGGCACAAGGCACAAGGCAGAAAGCCGAGTCCTTAAGTCACTATTCCCCTGTTTCGCAAAACAAAATAAAACCAAAAGCCAACAGCAAAAGGTGTTTGGCAGGTGGGAAAGGGTCTTAAAACACCTTGTGCCCTCCTGGGTCCCTCCCAATGCCTTCAGTGTGGGCTGTGGAAGCAACACCGCTCAACACCAATGTCACCATCGGCTGTTTAAATGCCACAAAAGTACACTTAGAAATGAGAGGAAAGTGGGGCCAGGCGCGGTGACTGACATGGACATGTACAGCCAGCCTCACTGCCACTAGAACAGCCTTAAATGCCCACACAAGGAGAATAAAAAGAAAAGCACATTTTGCAGTAGAATGAATACTTTTTTTTCTTTCTTTTTTTTTTTTTTTTTTTTTTTTATTGAGACCGCGGAATGTCACATGACCCTGCATGTAGCCTTTTAGGAAAGCAACCGAAATGGTAAAGCCAGGAGCGGGGGCTGCCTGCTTCCTCCTGCAGCCTTTCAGCCCGTCCTGTCGCGCGTCCACATTCTTCTGGGCGCATCTGTGGAGCTATTAAGTGGGATAATCCCTCTGGCCTTTGATACATTTCTGGACATGATTATTTCATTACTCGCAGTATATCAGTAGGATCATAATAAAAAGGACTTCTGACAACCTGCCAAGAGTTTTGTGGCCTTGTAAACACAAAAGTGCTCTAATAAAATTTTATTAAGTGTTAAAAAGTCATAAAAAGTGAAATAACATAAACTACAAAATTTACTGTCCTCAGCAAATGCTGAAAATATCTTCCACAGTAAAATTAAATTAGCATGTAATAGACAGAGAAGCAGTGTGGAGTGGATTTAAAAGAGGATCCAGGGAAAATGACACTGTAACCCAATCAGGGTCACGGGGATTTAATTCGGATTTTCCCCCCTAAATGTGGATAAATGTGCTGATTACAGACGAGAGCTTGGGGGTTACTGGAGTCTCACACATTGTCAATACTTCGGAAGGAATAATATATTGCAGATTGTAACCAGCACGGGGAGCCGGCGAAAGGCAGGGTGTCCACTAGAGCGCGCTGAGAGACCGGGAATCCCCGCAAGGGCGCCCGCGCCCGCGCCCGCGCCCCCCGCCGCCCGCTACCGCGCGCACGCCGCGCCCTCGCCCCGCTCCAAATCATATTTACAGTTAAGTTTTTTTTTTTTTCCGCTCTCGCCCGTGACATTTTCTCCAAATCGGAAGAAAATGAAGTATAAGTGGAGCTTTGCCGCAGGCAGCCCTCGGTCTCCGCTTTCAGATTCGGGGTCCGGGAGCAGAGCTCCCTGCCCGCCGCGGTGCTAAACTCGGGGTACAGTGTGTGGCCCTCAGCGAGCGCCCTGGGACTGATCGCCCCGCCGAAGGATGCCGAGGAGCCTGCAAGGCCGGCGTCCGGCTCTGCGTGGGGCGCGGGTGCGATCCAAAGGCCGCGGGCCACCGGCCTCGCCGCGGGTTCAAGTGCGTCCGGGTTTGGACGCCGCGGCTCCAGGAGTGTGCTCTCTCTCCTGCCCATCCCCTCCCCGGAGTTCAGCGTATCCGCGGCTCCGGGGACCCCTCTTCCCGGCCCTCCCAGCCGCGCTGGGCCGCCCGCCTCGGGCCCAACCCAACGCGCCTGTCTCCGGTTCCTGGCCAAGGCGCGAGGACGCGGGCGGGCACCGGGTTCCCGCTTCTCCCAGGCCACGATCCCGGCCCACGCACGAGGCTCCCGCGCCCATCGTGGAGGCTCCGCCTGGAAAAGAAGTTCGACTTCCTCTCCAAGCTGCTCCGAGGGGAATCGGAAATCGGCAGGAAATGACCAGAACTGCCAGCCTGCGCCTTTGCAGCCGGCCCTCGCTTTTCTGAAGACGAGCAGCTCCCACCAAAGTCTTGCCTCCCCCTACCCCGAAAGCCCCGCTCAGGTTTGTAAAGAGGGGTGCGAGATCTGAAAAGTATTTGTCTTCTAGGGAGAGAGATGTTGGTAAGGGGCCCAGTGAAAGACGGGTCCTTTTTAGCTCATCAACCCACCACGTCTTGCTTTGCAGCTCCAAAATGATGCCAGCGCAGCTGTCCTGAGGGTCAATATTAATGCGTTAAGTGGAATGGGAAATAAATGGACAGTGGCACATTTCGTGGCATCATTTTTATAAGGGGGATGTCCAAAGTTTTAAGCTGCATTTAAGAATTAGCCACATCTTGCCAGAAAGTTAATATTTTTTGATAAACTCGTTAATAAAGCCTAGAAGAGGTAAGTTAAAGTTAGTTACCACGTAGATCCTCCAGTCACTTGTAGAAACATGCACAGGTTACTAAGATGAGGACGACTTGTATTTTTAATTTTCTAGACTAAGTGCAAAGGCATTGAGTTTTGAGGTGGCAAGGTTAATGTTCAAGGACAAATGGAACAGCCAAGGATCTCTTGAAAAGCATTCACTTGCTATTAATACGTAAGCCTGAAATAAATAGAATTAATTTACAGTGGGAATTATATGCCCATGTTTTAGACTTTTTTGTTATTTTAGCTATATGAAAAGGGATGCTCCTTAGTGATTTAAAAAAAAAAAGCCACCTGTTTGTTGTCATTTGCAATTTGAAATAGCCGACAGCAGTAAGGCTAGCTAAAAAAGCTAACAAGTCAACTTCAGTGTGGTTTGACATTTACTAGCAAAGCTTTGAACGCTAAGAAAAACAGAATTTAAAAGAATGCATATAAATAATAAAATTTCATTGTGACTCAATGTCCCTGCTCCTGGAGAAGGGACAGATGACACTCAGTGACTGACTTGGAACCATTCCCCCTGCAGATGCATTTGTGGATACGGTGGGTCAGGGCTGCCTCTGAGTATGTACAGCAAGTGCTTGTGAACTTACAGAAACAAATGTTTTACTATCTAGGATTTTCTCAATAGTTTACTCTTAAAAGTTTTGCATGTAGAAATGTAGGATAAATATTTCTTCGAAAGAAAAAGTTTTGAAAGGAAACTTTATACTTGTATTATTTTTTTCTGTGTTCACATTTCAAAGTTCATCTGTCTTTCAAAAAACATTTTCATAAATATTAAAACACTGCAACTATTATTTTTAATTCTTTTGAGCACCACGTTTGCTGTAAGTAGTTTTTAAAGTAAGATTAATATAATCCTGTTTAAGGAGTTTAATAGAGAGAACAGGATTTCCAAGCCTGTAAATGCAGTCTATATAAAATAGTGAGATCAAAGCTTTTTGTTAAGAAACTTGAGAATGTATACATTTTAAATGAAGATAGAAACACGTTTTAAAAGTATTTTTTCCACACCATTTCCCTCCCCGCCAAAAGAATTCAGAGACTATATTCCATAGTCTAAAAATGGCATAATCAGATGTAAAAATTATCACCATAATATATAGTTCTCTCAAGATGGTGGATACTTTTTAATATATTATGAAGAAAGAGTTATATTCTCAGCCTACTATAGGTTTGAGGGAATGGAAAAGACGTTTCCAAACACATTTTACTCCTGAAATCTATGAGACTATTAAGCTGTGCAGGTAATTGTATTCTAAGTGGTAAAAGTATTTTTCCAACTGCTTTTTAAACTTTGAAAATTTTATATGTATTTTAATTAGCACTTTTATTTTAAATGTTCCAAATATTTAGCTATATCAGCTATGTGATAAAAATTATTGGAATTTGTTCCCTACTACTTTCTGCATAAACAATTGAAAATATTTTATACTAATCTTTTTATATACATGGGATAAATTTGAACATCTGTCTTGTTGGTGTAAAAAACAATCCAAATTCATTTCTTTCTTGAAAACTTGGCATCGATCTTCATCTTATTTTTTTTATGCACACAATTTGGACATGCCAGTTTGTAGGCAAGTTTTAAGACAGTGCAAAGTTTTATGTGGGAGAATGTATATTAAGGTATGAAATAGCTAATAGCCAAAATTAAATCAGGAGCTGTGGCATTCACTCCTTTGGATGATGATTTTAAAGGTAGTTTTGCACTCAGGAAGGATTTTCTTATGCTCTGTATTTATGAATATCTAAATTATCCTGCCTTGCAACTTCAAAACTCAATAACCAAATACCAAATTTATGTATTTTCAATGTGACTAAGGCTAGGAATATGAGAAGCAGATTGGTTTTATGAAAGAAAGCAAGCATTTACAATTATATTTTAAAATATAATCCTAATTTCAGTTTCTGACAGAAATCTTGTGGTCAGCTCATCAGTTTTTCAGATCAGTTTCTAAATAGCATGTAAAAACTACCTTTTCCACATCAGAAGTTCATATTTAGGTTTCCTTAACTGCAAAATCACTTTAAAAGAGAGTGTTTTATGTGAAGGACCATTTCATGTGTTGGTTCCATCGATTACATATGAATGTATAAAAATCTTGTTTAAAGACCAGTAAAAGTGAGGAAATTCCAAGTCAGGCTAGCTAATTCCATTCATAATTCATCCCGAGTACCTGACTGAGGAAACTTGCAAACAGTTTATAGCTATACATACAAAATAAGTTGACTTGCTTTGTAAGCTGGAAGCAGAGTTAAGTTTGATCTCCCTGCTTGGAAAGTCGTAAATTAATAAAATTATGGAATATGGTTAAGCTTTTCTGTTTCCCAGGAATTTTCCAATATCAATGCTTTTTGGATTTTTGCATTTTGAAAATGTAAGCATGGAAAGGCAACTTTTTTGTGCTGAGATGAAGTTAACTTTCACCCATCCATTTCCTTCCCACTTACACATTTGTTCAGTAATTCTTCAAGTGCTGGGGGACAGAGGCCCTGCCTTGAGAAAATAGCATATGCCATTTCTCTGCTCCCTTCAGCCATCCCCACCCCCAGCCCTCCCTTTATTCCAAGCCAGTTGGACAAGTATTTAGTATTGACACACGTTTCAAACTGCTACATCCACAGCCCTAGGTAGTTTTGGGGATTGGCAGGAAATCCATCTAGACTTTGCCTTCTGAGCTGGGAAAAGCTACTGGAAACTCCTATGCCTTGATACTGGGGCACTTCTAGGCTGTCTTTCCAATTTTAAGCAATCCATCAGTTGTTTTCTAAGACTGCACTGTATACTGATGCCTTCTCTTAGTTTTGATGTTCAGACGCTTTTTTAAACATGTTCATAGATTTCTTAAACATTCTGAGTAACTGTAATTTTAAACTAGACTAATTTTAAGGTTGTAAACTGTCCCAGAGAGAGTACTTACATAGTAACTTCAATCTGATGTGAACTCGAATGACTTTTAAAAAATAAGATGTTGAAAATGTGGGTTTCCGGTGGAAAAGCCTGCCATCTACTTAGAGTAGG